AAAAAAAAAAAAAAAAAAAAAAAAAAAAAAAAAAAAAAAAAAAAAAAAAAAAAAAAAAGAAGAGGATGGTTGGGGGTACGAACGAGTCGGAGAAGTGCCGGCTGTTGGAGGCCGAGACGGGGCACGATGGGTGCCGGCCCTACTACGACCAGCTGCTCTGCTGGCCCCACGCGAGCCTCGGCTCCGTCGCACACCAGCCCTGTTTCAGCGAACTCCAGGGGATACGCTACGACACGGGACGTGAGTACAATATTAACCTATACTCAATGTTTTAATCACCCCCATGTCTTGTGGTCCGTTTTTACGTATTATATAATACTAAACCATCCACAGTAATTTTTGCTGATCCACGCAGCTCCTAAAAAATTCTGATATCCATCTTAGTGAACATTTTTAGATTTTTCAAGTATCTTTAATCGAAAGTAAATAAAAATATTCCTATATTCAATATTTCTGCGACTGCCAAGACGTGACGATTTTCTCGAGATCATCTCTCCAATCAATCGCTCGTTGGGACTTTTCTTTTTTTTTTTTTTTTTTTTTTTTTCGTGTAAAACGGGTTACATTTGGCACCCACTGAGGAGCTTTTCTGTCAAAGCGGCGTCTCTGGTGCACATAATGATCAGAGACACAGTAGGGACTGGACCGACAAAGGGATAAATTGCATTCCTCGGCTCAATCGCGTTCCCATTAAACTTCCCCAGACGCTGCATCTACGCGTTCGGCAGTGCTGCAACGGAATACTTACTTTTCTCGACTCGAGATACGTTTCGAGTGCAGTTCTTCCTTCCTTCGTTTCTTATACATGTATTATATTGTGTATCCATATTGCACGTTTCCTGCTTGTGTGGACGTTACACACATATACGAAGAAAATCGTGTCGCGCACTTTTTTGTGCTCGGCTTTTCGGCTTTTTCAGCAGACGCGAGTAAGCGAGTTTTAACTTCAGGAGGATTCGTCCGATTTAGTATTTGATAATTGAAAACAATCAATAAACTTTTGGTTTCTCAAAAAGCTTTCAAGTGACAAAAGAAGAGGATCAGAGAAAGGGATAGCTATAGGGATAAATTTGTGTCGTTTAATTACATTAAAAAGATTACTATAACAGTGACTCAATATGAAACAACAATAAAAAATTAATATTATATTCTGTAAATTTTTATAAGCCACCGGTTTTTCAAGAGTCGACATCGCGACAACTGCGTTGCTGCGGCTTTTTGTTGATTCGCTCGTTTGCTCACCGCTGGCATAAGTAAACGTTGTAAAGTTTCAATCATTTTTTTTTTTTTTTTTTTTTTTTTNATCGGTAATATATTATACGTGTACAAAGTAAATGTAATAACAAGAACAACTAAAATCAAATTAATTATAAGAATACAAAAATTGTACAAGGTACAGTTGCATTATACTGTTTTTTTAATAATAGCTGCTCAATTAAATTGGACTTTCGTAGTACAACAATAGATAAGAGAAAGAGACGGAATGATATATCTCTCGAAAAAAGAATTTGTTCGAGTCAAACATGGGTAGTGGTGAAGAAAAAATTCTTTAACTCGCAATTTAACTATTGTTTAACGTTATAGATTGGAAAATTTTAGCACTTTTTGCTTGCATATAAGTTTACGGCTACTCGGTGCTACTGTCCGTTAAATAAAATGTGCAAAAGAAATTTCATTTGTAGTTATAAAATTTTGAGTTATTTGCCTTCAAATCTTTCATAACTGTTGTACTATTTTTTAACAATTTTTTTTTGTCAAGCAAATTAATTTAATTTTTTTTTTTCTATACAGCCGAAGGAAAAAAAATTCGAAGGCTTTTGGTTCCATCGATATTTCACGTACCCACTGTTGTACATATCGGAGGCGATTGTATCGGAACATGAAACGGCCTTAACCACCGTTGGCAGGCTCAGGGATTTCACACTTTTTGGGCTTAAGTATACACAATTTCGAATTTTAACGAGCTCTGGGGCAAGACGTCACTTAATCATCGCTTGAAAAATTTTTCAGACGGATGGTTGGGTTGTTTGTGTGTACCTACGGCGCGAGCAACGCGAGGCCGGACTCCCCTTCCATCTTCCGTTAAGCGATCAAATGACTTTTCACATAATTTCTTATGAATTGTGATTCATTGGTTCTTTCAGTTATCGCTATTTGTCAATGTTCTCGAAAAACGATGATTTATTCAGCTAATAGATTGACGCTCTTCGTGTTGTTCTTTGTAAATGCGCTGAGCTCGGCCTGAAATGATTTTTGCAACTAGTTGTTTATCCATCGGTAGATAAACTGATACTAAATACGAAATAACAATAAACAAATTCTTCATGTCCACTAGGTTGCATTGATAAATATGATAAAAGACGTTTTTTGTAAACCCAATGGTTTTCGAGCTCAGAATTCTAAGTTTCAAAAAATTACATTATTCCAGTATTTGAGGACTTTTTTACTACTCGACTATTGACCAACAAAACATTTCGTTTTCTTTTTGTCTCTCGTCGTAAAAACAAAATTAATTAGTCCGACACTTTCGGTTAATTAAATGGTACAGAAATCACGTGCTCGAATGTTTCGATAAAGTTGTACACACGTCTGCAAAAAGTACGTAGTATGAAAAGGGTCGCCTCTCATCCATACTCCAGGCACGAGTTGTTTCTTGTTTTTCTCCCTAAGCTTCCGCATCTTGTGGCTTTCAACAAAGTTGATATTTAATTAAACCCAAGAGCTAACCAGACAATGACAAAATTAGGGAAACTTTTATGGCTAACCCCTTGCTAGCAAAACGTACCGCACGTCCTCTAAAAACTTTCTCTTCCCTTGTACGGCTTCCTTTACCCTTTTGTTTATTCTGAGGAGAAAGAAACAACAATTGCGTATGTATAAACAAAAAAACCGAAAATTTACATACACACGATGCAAACCACGAACTCCGGCATTACCGTCTTTTCAACGGGATTATGTACTTTCCTTTGTTGTACCACCGCACCCTATAAATTTCCTGTTTTATCATAGCGACGTTTACGCGTGACCATCCGTTGACTGAAACTCTGCTCGCGTCAAACCTTAAAAAAACGAGTATCGGAAGTCTAGGCGAGGATTGAAATTATTGGTAAAAAATGGTCCAATCGAGAACGCTTTCATGAATTTATTATAGACCTGTGGTTGCAGAAGTTTTTTTTTTCTATACTTTAGCGAAGACTTATAAAATTCGCACTTGAATTTGTTTAATTTCCTCATACTTTTGCGTTCATCTAAATTTTAGTCCATACGTATAATAGGCATAAGCATTGAATTCATAAAATTTGTATGGAAAAGTAGATATTAACTTACCTATGTGCAAAAGTGGTAAATAAAATCGGTGGCTGGAAATCTCCTGGACAAAAAGTTATGTAAATGTAGATGTAGATTACGTAAAATTTTTGCTTTTACCACTAGTTTAAAAACTTTTCTGATGTATCTTTTGATGCTAAAATTTGCCTCGAGATTTGAAATTTAAGTATATTAACGAGAAATCTTCAATAACTTGTCGGAAAATTCAAACTTCAATCGAATCTTGAACGAAAAAAAATATGCCTTTCCCTGACATGAAAGCTCGGCGTGAATTCAAATTTCCAATGGAGTCTCATATACATACCTTAAATAAATGTTTATCAAATATACCGAGTATTAAATTTAATTCCGAAATAGAAACATGAAGTTTCCAAAGAAGAAGGAAAATCAATAAGTCCGCAGTGGAAGAGATTTATTGGTTAAAAAATATTCTGTTTTTTGTTTTCAGATTAAATTTTACAACTTTCTCGTAACATTTTTTTTTTTTTTTTAATGCTAAACGGAATTGAGGGAAATTAGTTTTTCATGTCCAAAGCTTGAAAATTATTTTACGTAGCTTTTGATTGTACTTACATCACTATAACGCAACAAATTGATTTTACGAATGCTGTTATGTATGGCTTTAAAGGTTAAACTATCAATTGCGTTCAATAAAATACAATTATCAAATGTATAGCTAATATATTTCGCCATCAGCAACTACTGAAACATCAATTGGCTCAAATTGATTACATAATACGAAAGCTGCTCGTTCTAATCAGAACATTATAAAGTAGCGATTTACCAGGAGGAATAGTATATCATGAGTAACGTAACAGTGCACACACTAATTAAATTTTCATGTGCAAATATCAAATGGAAATAGGTACAATACCATCGATTTACGTTTTTCGTTACGCAATCATTGATTTCGAGCATCTAAACATCGGGCCATGTATTAACGAACGCATCGAGTGAACGGCATCTCGTAATATTAATTTTAACGTTGCGTAATCAACTGCGTGGATTTCATAGAAATATTCATGAGCTTTTGTGTCATTCAAAATAATAATGACCGCGGGCTTGATGTTCGTTTGTATTTACACCTTTTGCAAACAAGTGCAGTATATTTAATAAATACAATTTATTTATGTTCATTAGTTACTACATATCACAGTAAAAAAGTTTGTGTTGATTGAGCATTCGATTAATTGGTAGGGTATCCTTTTGTGGTGTGAAATTAATTGAAGAGAACAACTAACAACGAATATTAATTTAACACGTAATCTTGTGAAAAAGTCCTGCAGTTACATCAACGGCGTGCAATTAAACTGATCCTGCGTCATGTAAGATTTAACGTTAAAAGTCTTGCACGGAACTTGCACTTGGTAAATAAATAAGCTTTTGACTAAAAAAAAGGCACTTTTTTTAATATATTGTATTGATTCATCGTCATTTTATTCACTATTTACATTCCACTTCCAATTAATCCATACACGCATAAAATCAAAGTTCTATGCAACTTCTAGCTTTATAAAAGTATCTCGAGAGATTGTGAGTAAATTTAACATCATTTCAGACGATAAATTTTACAAACAATAAGAAATTCTTGTTTGAGGATCTACTACAAAAGAATTTGGTTGAATTTTATATAAGGATATAAATATTTTTAAAGAATATTTACTGCCACGATGGGAATTGCAGGTCAAGTATTTTGTTTTTTTTCCCTTTGTTCTCGCACATTTTATTCTTTGCTAACATACTCTATTGCTTTTTTCCGTGTATGTTTTTATACTCTGGTTATAAATAAATAAATAAATAAATAAATAAAATACGATTTTGTATCGAAATGTGTGTGCACGAGTACGCATTAATTTTTTTCACAGAAGATCGAGTCATTGGTCTATAAAATATTAAATTACGATTTTTACTAT